CAGGAGGAGTGGGAAGGAAAAGGGTTCAGGACGCAGCCCAGTGTCCTCGGAGGTGACGGACATGGCCAGGTCCACACGTGGGACTGCCCATCCTGCTCCAGTCTCCAGTAAAGGCATCTGTGACATCCCCGTCATCGATCACCAGGGACACGAGGCATAAAGAGCCCCGCGGCAGGGTCTGCGGCTGCGCCTGCCCCGCCTGCACGAGGCGCGTTCCTAAGGAAGCCCAGGAAACGCAGGCCCAGCAGGGGCCTTCAGGCTGAGAGCCGGCCAGGACAGCAGAGGTCGCTGGCCTGTGGCCAGCCTCGTGGAGGCTCCAGGTCTGCGGACGCGCAGTTGTGCACACACACACCAGAGCGCAGGCTCCAGGCAGGACGCGGGGCGAGGCCTGCTTGCGCCGGGAGGCTCGCGGTGAGGGAGCCTGCGCCTGCAGACGCAGTGGCTTTTCTTCTGCCGGCTGCACCGCGAGCGAGCGCTGGGAACGGCCGGCACAGAGCCCTTCAGCCCAGAGGGTCTTTGAGCTGCTGACAGCTGACTGATGACCGGGCGCAGCCCACAAAAGGGAGCTGGGTGGCGGCCGGCATCACACGGCCTCTCCCTGGGAAACTAATTGCTCCGAATTGTCCGGGGGGAATTATTTTTCTGGCAATCATTTCCTTTGAATGCCCAAAATGAGCATGAAGCAACTCTTTTGACTGGACATAAAAGTTAAATGTCCCAATGTTGATCAAATTAACTTCAGCACCACGACAATGGACTGCATCTGTGGGAGAACAATGGGGACAGAGGCCTGCTTCATGCCCGGGTCTCACGGTGGTGATGTCGAAACGTCGCTGTGGGACTGGCCGGCCACAGACGAGGCCCGCGACCCGGGCGGAACCCGAGAGCACACCCCACTCTGGAAGCTTCCGGGTGCCACCTGACTGGCATCTGAGGCTGAGTGACAAGCCCACTGCAGGCTGCAGGAGCCTCCCGCAGCCGTGTCCAGGTAGGGCCTGAGCCCCGGAGGACGGTGCGGGGACCAGGTCCTGGGAACCTGCCTGGCGCATGGAGCCAGAGACTTCTCTGAGACAGTTGTGCTTCCTCAGTTAGGGGTTTGTCTCCTTTCTTAACCGCGTGTGCTACAGAGTCAAAGCAAGAACATCTGCAAATTGCGCACACGACAAGGATCATCACTTGTGATCAGGATGAGCTGACCCCCAAGGTCCCCCTCAAGGAACGTGGTCAGCCTCAAGCTCCGCCCTGCTGGGGCCCCAGAGTGCCAGGCCACGCGCCTGCAGGTGCAGGCCCCCACACCACACACAGCCAGGGCCCTGGGGTCCACGCACCTGAAGCGTTTAGCTAGAACTGACTTGTCTGTCTGTTTTTAAAACGTTGTCACTCTGGGATCGCCTGGACTCAGAAGCGGCCAAGACCGCAGCGGGTGCCTCTCGGCTTCCCCACAGGCCTCTCCCTGGTCCTCGGGGTGGGGCTCCAAGGCTGCCCTGCCCTCACTCTGGTGCCACACGCTCCCTCAGTGGACAGAAAGATCGCTCCCCCACCAGCAGCCTCCTTGCCGACCCCTCGCGTCTCGGCGGGGCCGGCAGACAACGCGCGCGGTTCCCAGTGCCCTGTGAATGCTGCGCTGTTGGTGGCAGCGTCCATTCAAAGGCCAGCGCGGCATTGTCCTGCCCGAACAGCACAGCACAATGCAGTCTGCTGGTGGCTGCCAAAAGGTTAGCAGTGCCGCTGAAAGGGCGGCCCATTGTGCACCCTCGACAGAGCCCCCCTTTGTGTGCGGCAGCCCCGCGCCGCGGAGGTCCGGATCTGCGGCTGGCTGGGCGCGCCGCGGAAGCGCCCGTGGGAATGTGGGCGCAGGAGAGCATCCGGGTCCCAAGCCTGCTCTGCTGGGGGCCGTGGTGCCACAGTGTGGGGCAATGGCACAGTTTAATGCCATAGCACTGATGACCTCACCATAGCAATGAGATCCAAGGGCCCTCGGGTGCTGTCGCCCCGTGCCATCATCTGGGAGGACCCCCAAACCCCGGTGCCTCAAAGAGCTGCCATGTTGCAGACGAGGCCTTGTTCCCAGGCTGCCTGGGCAGAGGGGGCCTCCCTGCTGGCTGAGACACAATGTCCTGCGAGCACTGTGGTCAGTTTTGTGCCATCCTGGCCATGGGCAGGGCAGCATTAGCAGTGGCTGCAGTGGGCCCAGTGCGGGGCTGAGGCCAAGCCCTGGGCACACGGCAGTGAGAGAAGCAGCACCCAGACCCTGCGTCCCACACCCCTGGCCTCCCTGCAAGGACCTGGCAGGTGGCGGCAGGTGCTAGGGTGTCCCTCTCCCAAGTGCGGATGTTTAGCTCCTGGGAGGGTCACTGGCAACAGTGGCCCTGGTGGGCACATGGTCTGTCCTGGGGAGGGGTCAGGCCACCGGGGACTGCCCTCAGAGGGGATCAGGGTGTCTCCTGGAGGCCCCATGCTGGCTCCTGGGAGGGGGTTGCGATCCAAGAGCAAGTCTAGGGGAGCATTTGGTGCAGCAGTTACGCCGCCTTGGATGGCCACACCCCTGCGGGGGTCTGAGTGCTGGCTCTGGTCCTGACCCTGGCTTCTGCCCACGCACCTGGGAGGTAGCAGCAAAGGCTCAAGTGCCTAGGTTCCTGTCACCCACGTGGGAGACCAGATGTGGAGCTCCTGGCTCCCAGCTTCGGCCTGGCCCAGCCCCAGCTGTTGCAGGCATCCGGAGAGTGGACCGGCAGGTGGGAACTCTCTCTGCGCCTCCTTTTCTTCCAAATCAAGACGAGAGTGCACTGGCCCTGGCCCAGCCTCTGCGCTTCCTGTGGCCCCTCCTGCACGCACTCCTACTGCTATGACATCATCTATCACGGGCTTCACCAGGGCCGAGCCGACCCTGGCACCAGGCCCCCGGCCCTACAGAACCTCAAGCTCCACCAGCAGGTGATTTAGCCACAGTCAGAGAACAAGCGAACGTGGCAGTGCAGCGACAGGAACCTGTGGAGACGCCAGCGCTTCCAGCTCCACCTCAAGTGGCACCAACAGGCAGCAGAGCCCAGCTCCCAGCTCCCTGCCACACACAGCACAGCCAGGCACGCACGTGTGTGCACGCTCACACACAGGCACACACTGCTCTCACAGCTCACCACATGCATGACCACGTAGGCAGACACATGGGCTAACACACAATCACACTCCATGCACACAATGCACACATATACAACACACACGCATACAATGCTCATACATGAACTAATACACGTACACACACATACATGTCCTTATGTACTTCAGTCACACAGAATGCTCACACTCATGCAAACGCAATCATAACACTGCTCACGGTAAGCTATGTGTACAGAAGCAAGCACACGCGTGTGCTGTGCAGTACAATCACACACATACGAACACATGCATGCGTGCGACCATGCGTGCTGTGAGGACAGGCCCTGCCTGCTCCCAGGCACATGGGGTGCAGGGCCTCTCAGGGTGGCTGCCATCCTTCTTGGTCCCACCTGACACTGGGGGCCCTCAGGATACTGCCCTGGGTCTGGGTTTCACTGGAGCAGGAATGTGCCCCTCCCAGTGCCTGGGTCCCGAGCCTGTCCTCAAGGACCCAGAGGTGCCAGGCACAGCCCCTTCCTGTGGACGTCCCTCCAGAGGGGGACGCCCGAGTCTGAGCACCCTGTGCCCCCTCTTCCTCTCTGGATCCGGCCCCTACACACCCTGACCGCCTCTGTCCACATGGCTGAGGGCAGCTCGGCCCTCCTGCTGGGCCTGATGCCAACACTCGGGAACTGAGTCCCCTAGGAGAGCTGACTACAGTGCTCTGTGGCTGGCGCAGGGCGCAGGGGAGTGGGTGGAGGCCGGCCCTGGGTCAGAGCAGCTGACCGAGAAGCCAGGTGCAGGAGGGGGGGCGGCGGGAGCCCCTGCACACTCAGAAGCACAATGCAGGGTTCCTCACACACGAGGGGTCGGGACAGCGGGGGGCCCAGGAGATGCCCACAGTGAGCGCCTGTCACATGCCAAAGTGGTCATTCTGTCACCTGAGCCGGGGACCCGGACAGAGCAGGAGCGGCCACGCCATGCCGTCCGCCTGCCTGGCCCAGGACCAGACACACATGCTCACTGGGGGTCCCCAGGTGTCAGAGGTCACATCAGATGCCACAGACTCGGGGGGAGGGGCTTGGAGCATCTGAGTGAGAGGAGTTGGGGCACCTGGGAGCCCTGGCTCTGATGGTCCCAAAGGTTGCCAGACACCCTCCCTGGGAAACAGCCTGGCTGGTGGCACCGAGGGGGAGGGGAGAGGAGGGTGCTGTGGGGACAGAGGGGAGGGGAGGGGAGGGTGCTGTGGGGACGGGAGGGAGGGGAGGGTGCTGTGGGGACGGGGGGGAGGGGAGGGTGCTGTGGGGACAGAGGGGAGGGGAGAGGAGGGTGCTGTGGGGACAGAGGGGAGGGGAGGGTGCTGTGGGGACAGGGGGAGGGGAGAGGAGGGTGCTGCGGGGACAGGGGGGAGGGGAGGGGAGGGTGCTGTGGGGACAGGGGGGAGGGGAGGGTGCTTCGGGGACGGGGGGAGGGGAGGGTGCTGCGGGGACAGGGGGAGGGGAGAGGAGGGTGCTGTGGGGACGGAGGGAGGGGAGGGTGCTTCGGGGACGGGGGGAGGGGAGGGGAGGGTGCTGCGGGGACAAGGCAGGAGGGGCCCCGCTGAGCTGCCCTCACGGGCTGCTGTATGGTGCCCAGGCTGAGCTGGCAACTCTGGCAGTCACCCTGCAGGCTGGAGCTGCGGGAAGGCACTGCCCACAGCCAGGGGGACCACGGACAGCCGCTGCTGGCTGTGGCATTGGCCACCCTGGCAAGCTGCAGCACCCATCCTCGAATTCTGAGGCCTCCCCAGGGTGCTGTTTCCTATCTCCCCACATGACGTGGAAGAGCAGTGACCAACCAGGGGCACGGCCTTAGGGCCCACTCTCAGAAGCCTGGCCAGGCAGCAGTGGACGGCGGGCACCCACCTGTCCAGCACATAGCCCAGTGCCTTGTGCCGGATGCCCGAGTACACCGACGGGCTCGTCTCCCAGGCAACCAGGTTGGACGCGTCGTGGAAAAGATGGATGTTCACCAGGTCAAAGGCACTGCAACCAAAAAGAGAGGACACAGTGACTGAGGGCTGGAGCCAGCAGGTCACCTGACAGCTAACCCCACCAAGCCCGCCCCGGCATCTGACCTCCCATCTCTCCCCTGGGCAGCCACACTCCCAGAGCACAGCCTCCCACGAGGCAGCAGGACACACGGCCTTGCTTACGTCTTCTGTGCACAGCTGAAGGAAAGCTACTTCCTTAGGGGAGAGGCCTTGTACCAGCCATGGCTCTCCCCACAGCGAGGGTCTGCCCAGGGCAGAGCAGGAGGCCCCCAGGTCTCAGCTCCCAAAGGTGAGGCTGTCGGCACCCCTGTGGTGGGAGTGGGGGCAAAGGGACTGGGGGGTTCCATCCCACTCCCTCTGAGCTCACAGTCCCAAGGAAGACCCTCACATGTGCACTTGGTGAGGCTGGAATTGGGCCTGTGGGACACCCACACTTGACATCACCCCCCGACTCTTCAGCGCTCCCCCATCCCACCCGGATTTGCCAGTGCCACCTGTGTCCCTCACATTGTGCTGGGGCCGGTCCCTACAACCAGGGGCACACAGCAGTGGTGGTGGCTACCTCCCAGAACAGGTCAGCAGGGACCCTGGCTGTCCCCTTCTCTTACTTCCTCCCAGGGTCTTGTCCTGAGCAAAGAGAGGCTGTGTGGGAAGAAGCCATGGCCTCCAGCCACAGCCCTGGGCTGGGCATGGCACTGAGTCCTCTGGACCCAGGAGGCATCAGGGATGGCCTGGGGCAGCTGGGCCACAGCTGGCTAAGCCATTCAAAGATCATTCTTTAAAGCACAGTGGGTAAAGCCACTGTCTGGATGCCGGCGTCCCATACAGGCGCCAGTTTGAGTCCTCTCCCAATGCAGCTGCCCGCTCATGCCCTGGGAAAGCCGTGGAGGTGGCCCAGGTGCTTGGGCCCCTGCACCCATGTGAGAGACCCAGATGGAGGTCCTGGTTCGGCCGGGCCCAGCCACAACTGTTGCAGCCACTTGGGGAGTGAACCAGCAGATGGAAGATTCTCACTCACTCTCTCTCTCTCTCCCCCTCCCTCCCTCCTCTCTCTCTCTCTCTCTCTCTCTCTCTCTCTGGCTCTTTCAAATAAATAAAATAAAATGTAAAAAAAAAAAAAAAGCTACTGGTGCAGGGTGCTGTGTCACTAGGCCACTACCGTGGGCTCCAACAAGGTCCCCACCCAGCAGCCAGGAAGCTGCCACCGTGGGGTTCCCGAGTCCCTCCCCTTGCAGGGATGCTGAGCCCCAGGCCCACGCATGAGAGCTTCATGGGAGCTCACCACGTGGGTGCCCGCGGGAGCACAGGGTTCGGCAGACAAACTGGTGCTGAGTGCCCAGACCTGCGACTCGAGTTCAGGGACGGCGACACCTTCCTGTCGGTAGAAGCTTAGCTGAGAGAACATTCTGGAAACGTGGCCTAACATAAGGGAACGTACCAGTCAGCGAGGCACCACCGCGTCCGGATGAAGCCCTTTCGTGACCATTTGCACTGAAAAATAAACAAGACACAGAGATGAGCTGGCACAGCCGGCGGCACACAGGGTCCACCGGGAACAGGCCCGGCACTTCCAGCGCTTCTGCACCTCTGGGACGGAGCAGACGGTGGCGCTGCACACAGAGCTCTCTCTGGGGCACCACTGTGGGGAGGACCTGGTGCCTGCAGCCAGGAGGCTGTGCAGGAGGCACCCCCACTCCACGGGCACACAGCCCTGACGGCCCCGCCCGGCAAGCACCCAGGCAGGAGGGAGGCTGGGAGGGTTGCCGGATGCCGCAGATAAAGCGCCGGTGCCTGGCTCTGCTCTGGGGGGCGAGGTGGGCCCACGCGTCTCCACAGGAGCTGAGCACCAGCACGCCGGGACGGGGCTGCCACCAGGGTTCCCTGAGGGAGGCTGCGCAGCACCCAGGCCTCCACTCCCTCCTTGGCACGGCAGGCCCGGCACGGCTCTCGAGCACAGGGTGGCCAGCACCAGACAACGAGCCATGGCAAATGAACACGACCGGTCACTCAGCCAGCGCGCTGTGCTTCTGCGGCCCAGGTGGCCTGAGACGGCCCTCCCACGAGAGCGCCCCCAGGAAGCACCTGCACTTCAGGGCCTGCGCGAGGGGCTCTGCTGCCACACCCACCTGCGCTCTGAAGTGACCAGAGAGGGAGGGGCAGGGCGTGGCCCTGTCCACGCCCGGGAGGGGCCTGCGGCCTGACGTCCTCTTTCTGCGTCATGCAAGCACCACTCTGGTGCATTCTGGGCAGAGGGGCTCTGCTCCCACTGGGCAGGGCAGCCAAGCACAGGACATGGCTACCGAGCGGACGGGAGGGACGTGGGAGGGTTCTGGGCCTAGGCAGCTCAACACGGCAGCCACTGGCCGCTCACAGCTGCCAAGCTCCATGAGTGTGACTGAAAACCTGAATTTCCCATCCCACTTTACCCTGAATCAACTGTAAGTGGCACAGACACACAGCCCAGGGAGCGCCCTGAAAATCCCCTGGAGGCTCTGGGAGGAGCCCTTCCTTACCCCGACAAACACCCCCTGAACACCTGCCCTCCCAGGTCAGCCCGGGGGGTGAGGCGGAGGCAAGCATGGGGGCGGTGCACAGGGTCTCCCAGAACGGCAGAGGCAGGCAGGCGGAGACCCCCGCCTCCATGTGCTGGGGCGTACTGCAGGGGTGACCAAGGCGCTGGAGAACAACCACATGACGCGCGGTCCCTGCGTGGAAGGCCAGAGAAATGGCACCGGGCGGCGCAGAGGTGGGCACCTCACTGCTTCGTGCAGCACAGCCAGGTGAGAGGCAGGACGGGAAGTGGCCCTGCCGGCCCCATGGCCCAGCCGCTGTCCCTAGCTTTCTCACTGCCCCTAACAACCATACTCCTGTCTCTAGTGAGGAGACAGGGCCCCCACTTCCTCCCAGTCGGGGCACAGTAGGACCCAGGACTCCGGACTCTGGACCCAGCACCCAGGACCCAGACCCAGCACCCAGGACCCCAGACCCAGCATCCTGGACCCCACACCCAGGACCCAGGACTAGGACCCAAGACCCAGAACCCATTACTCAGCACCCCAGACCCAGCACCCAGCACCCAGGACCCTGGACCCAGCACTCAGAACCTAGGACCAGCACCCAAGACTGACCTAGTACTCAGCACCCTGGACCCAATACTGTGGACCCAGCACCCAGGACCCAGGACCCTGGACCTAGCACCCTAGACTCAGCACCCAGTACCCTGGACCCAGAACTCAGCACCCAGGACCCTGGACCCTGGACCCAGCACCCAGGACCCTGGACCCCAGACTTAGCACCCAGGGCCCCAGCACCCAGCACCCAGGACCAGGACCCAGCTCCCAGCACCCAGGACCAGGACCCGGACCCGGGACCCAGCACCCAGTATGCAGCTTCTTCACTCCCCAGGTCCCTTGTCTTGACCACCCCGGCTCCTCTTCTGGCCAAGCCCTGAGCACTCCCAGAATCAGCATCCACGTCAGCGGTCACTCCTGTGGCTCACCTGCCAAATAATCTACCCAAAAATACACACACACACACACACACACAGACATGCCAGCACACACATGCTAGCACACATGTCAGCAGACACATACACATGCCAATACAACCCCAGCACATACACATATGCACACATAACACATGTCAGCACACACCAGCACACATCCATTCCAGCACACTCACATCCATTCCAGCACACACATGTATATGCCAACACATACACACCAGTAGACACACATGCATGCCAGCACACACATGCATGCCAGCACAAACATGCTAACACACAAACACAGGACAAAACACACATACATGCCAGCACACACATGCATGCCAGCACACACATGCCAGCACACAAACACAGGCCAGTACATACATGCACATGCCAGCACGCAAACACGCCCACCCACATCCACACAACACTGCATGCACGCTCGTACACATGCAGGTGCATGCACACACACGTCTGGGAGGTGCAGTGGGGACCCGGCACCGTGTCGCAGAACTGCACTTCAAGGGCCCCACGGGTGCTGTTGCCCGGGGCCCTGCTGACGGAAGCAGAGGACCAGTGGGCCTGGACAGGGTCTGCTCAGGTCCCTGGTTGGTCCTTCCCCTCCTGGCCTACGTTCTGGGAATTTCTGGTCACTGAGCACCGTCTGAAACCAGTACCGTGGAGCGTGGCTCCACGCTCCCAGGGGGTGCCCTGCAGCCCCCAGCTTCCTGCACTCCAGCAGGTGTCACCCCGAGACGCAGGGCACGCCGACGCCGGGGAGGGCGGCCACATGTCCCCTCCCAGCGTCCACTCCCAGCCCAGCCCTGCTAATGGGGTCCCTTCACAGGCAGACGGATGGCGGGCGCAGGAGGCTTCATCTCCTAAAAGGCAGCATAAATCGCACGGAGCAAAGAGTGGCTGTGGGAGGTGACGGGCACACAGCCCTCGCGTGCACGCCTGCTCCCAGCATTAGCGGGATTAATCCATCTTTCATAAGAGCTTGCAGCAGGCCCGTGATCTATGGTAACAACCAATTTCTCACCACGGGCACGGGGAAAAAATGACTTGACCTGATCGACTATACAAATCTGCTTTTTAAAAATGGCCTCCCATTATCTGGAGTGTTGCTCCCGCAGGTATCATCTGAGACTCGCACGGAGCCGAGAGCGCCCATCCATCAGCAGTGGGAGTGCTGCTAGTTTAAACGCAGCGGCGCAATTATCTGGAACTGCATCAGCCTCCATCGCGGCGATCACATTCAGATTATCCCTAAGTGATGGCGATCAAAGAAACAGAAGTCAGTGTCAGACCGGCGTCTCCCCAAAGCGTTCAGGTGGAGCCGAGCGGTTGGCACACGGGCACAGGGCCAGGGAAGGGCGTCCCGCCATCCCCTCCGTCCACACACACGACCTGCCACACGCGTGTGAAGTGTGCACACACCTGAAAGTGCCACACCGCTGACGACGGCCAGACGCTCACGGGAATTGAAGCAGATTTCCTCCTGCGACGTCACAGGGTGACCGACACTTGGGGTTCCTGTGTGCCCCACACGCACCCTGGGGCACACGCATGGCCCCGAGATACGTCCGGGGAAAGGCGTGTGCCCCACGTGGTCACCAGCAGCACGAGGGTCTGCTCATCAGCCGAGCTGGGCCGAACGCCGAGAGACAGAGTCCACCCAAAGTGCCCCAAGGGCTTTTCCAGGATTTTCCAGACGCAGGCGCCTGGGCCAAGTCTATGAGCGCAGGAAGGGTCAGCGCTCAGGCCGGGGCCACCTGACCCATGGGAAGGAGAGGGCCACTCACACCCTGGACACCAAGCCATGCCCCAGCCTCCTTTCCACACCACTGAGGGCTGTGGGCATGAAGCTTTGGCCTGGAGGAGCCGAGGTGCCTTGAACACCCCAGAGGGCGGCCAGACCTGATCCCGGGGTGAGGGCAACAGGCCAGACGCCCCAGCTCCCTCCTCCCTCAGGGGCTGCTCTTCCAGGACACAGTAGACCCTGTGGGTCCAGGGTCCCTTCAGACCATCACAGCCCGGCAGGACAGGACACAGGCTGAGGAGAGGGGACAGGGCCTGTCGCTGTGTCAGAACAGGGCGGTATCCTGGCTCCCAACCTGGGTGGGAGGAACCATGCCCTGGTGCAGGGGTAGGGTGGGAGCTGCCACAGCACAGGGGAGAGTGCAGCGGGGACAGCAGCACCACCGGGTCACCACCACCGGGTCACTGCTGCCCGTGCCTCTGCCTAGGACCAGCCCAGGGCTGCCCCCACCAGCCCTGCTGGCCTCCTCTTAATTCTCCCTCTGTGGTTGCTGCCAGGTGAGCCCCAAAGTCTGTGTCTGGTCAATCTGAGAGTGCCAGTCAGCACCAGCCCCAGAGAGGCCTTCGGGTGAGCGAGGGTCAGGCTGGGGTGGACAAAGGCCAGAGGGCAGCTGTGCCTGGGCCCTGAATGGCCCATGGCTTCCCCGAGGGAACCACAAGGATCTTGCCAGGGGACATCAAGGGTGGCAACGTGTGGGGAATCCTCAAGGTCTCGACGCTGGCTCGCACCCCCAGTTCTCCTCCAACCTCTGAGTGCAGGGACCGCGGCCTCGGCCCGGCACGATGGATGAGCCGTGGGGTGACAGGGCGGCCCCATCCCTCACTCTAGCCGCGGGTCATAAAGCAAGTTAATAAAGTGTGGCCTTGTGGAAGTCAGAGCGACCAAGCCCCTCCCGCATGGCCGCCTGACGGGGCTGAGCCACAAGCCCCAGACACCACGCCCTGCATCACCGCAGGGGTGGAGCTGTCCCAACACATGGACGCTGTCAGGGACAGCATGTGGCTGTGCAACCTGAGCTCCCAAACCCCGCGACTGAACTGACGACAAACGGGCAAGAGAAGGCACTCGGCACAGCCGTGTCACACAGCTGGTGACACAGGCACAGGGACTCCAGCAATACCGGCTGCACAGTGCGACCCCGGGCAAGCCACAAAGCACGTCACACTGAGTGCACGACTGGCAAAGGAAGCAGGCAGCTGCCCAAGTAGCAGGCACAACGCAGGGACACGGGCTTCAGCCGCCAGTCCAGGCCACGTGGGCTCCACGCCTGCCGACTGCTGTATGACCCAGGTCCTGTGTGTGAAACAGAACGCTGGGGAAGGGACAGGACCCCATCCCCGCAGTCCCTCGCTCCCCATGTACTGTGGTCACCGTGGTGTTTCTCCTGCCAGCCAGACTGACCCACTGACACCCAAGCATCTGGCACGTGGACGTGGGACATGGACACAGGACAGGGCACCACAGGTGACCTGCACAGTATTCACCTGCGTCTTTTTAGGCACGGCTCCTGCCTGAAGTGGCTACAGGATGTGCTGACTGATGCAACGCTGAGCAGCCAAGCCTCGTCCTGCCCTGGTCTGGGACAACCTGGACCAGCCCACCAAGCCCAGGGCTCCAGGAAGAGCACGGCAGGTGGCAGACACCGACAGGCGGCAAGCCCCTGTGCCTCACTTCCCACGTGCTCACGGCAAGCTCACGGCAAGCTCACGGCAAGCCCGTGCTTGTGGAGTGGCAGGGAGCCCTCCCGAGGGAGCAGATGGCAGGGCTCTCTGAGAACTGCGCAGTGCAGAGGCCGACTGAAGCACACACAGGCCTGCAATGGATGCCATCCAGCAAGACAGACGCAGCCAAATGTGGGACTGCGCCAGGGCTCCTCCCCCGGGCCTGCGGCGCAAGCGGGGCCGTGTGGGGCCTCTGCACGAGTGCTCGCTTCAGGGGCCGGGCGGGGCCCCACGCACCTCTGGGAAGTAGTCCTGCGGGAACTTCTCCTTCTCCAGCATGGGTGTGCTCTCCAGGGTGTCCGAGTAGATCTCTTTGCCGGTCACCTTCTTGTACTTCTTGGCTGCAGAACAGCAACAGACAAGGTGAGCACCTCGGCTCCGTCCCATCACAGCCACCAGGGCAGCCCTGCAGGGAACGTCGGGGACCCCCAAGAGGGCTGACACTGTGCTGACCCTGAGCCACCTGCCCCGGGGACCCCGCCTGGAATGCAACGTCCACTGTCACCCCACCGCTCCCCGCCTGCAGACCTGGGGAACTGCCTGGCATCCTCTTTCCAGACCGCAGTATGTTGAAGAGAGTTGTGGAGTCACCACTCACTGAGACTTCACGCAAACCTACTCATAGCACCCACCTCCCACTCACACCCAGCCAACACGGCTGGGGAGGGGTCTGCTATGACCGGCGCAGGAGCCTGTAGGACCTGGTATGGCAGTGGCTGCCCAGCACCTCCCTGGAGCCCCTGACAGATGCGGCTCAGTCTAGGCCCCCTGAGCAGACATGTGTGGACAGCACCCCAGGCCTGCAGAGGTGTGGGACAGCCACAGGAAGGCCCTCGGTTGGGGAGGGTGGAGGTGGCTGCCAGCCCCTGGCAAGATGTGTGTGGATGGCATGTGGGTCTCCAGGCCCAGCCCACACGGCCTGTCCTCCAGGGCTGCCCCCAGCCAGGCCCAGCCCACACGGCCTGTCCTCCAGGGCTGCCCCCAGCCAGGCCCAGCCCACACGGCCTGTCCTCCAGGGCTGCCCCCAGCCAGGGCCCAGCCCACACGGCCTGTCCTCCAGGGCTGCCCCCAGCCAGGCCCAGCCCACACGGCCTGTCCTCCAGGGCTGCCCCCAGCCAGGGCCAGCCCACACGGCCTGTCCTCCAGGGCTGCCCCCAGCCAGGGCCCAGCCCACACGGCCTGTGTCCAGCGCCTGTCTGCTGCTAGTTCCCATGCTCCCAGTCCCCTGCTTGTTGGGGTGTGGAGGTCACGCTGTGCTGCTGGAGTTTCATGACGCCCACTCTATGTCCTGTGGGCAGCTGGAACCTCGAGGGGCAGTGGGGGCAAAGTGGAAGCACCCTGGGGCCAGGCCCTGGGCCACACTCAAGCCCAGGTAGAGGGTGGGGTCCACAACACAGAGCTGCAGCCAGGCCTGTGGGGAGCTCAGGGGTCGGGAGAGCAGGCTCAGGGCGCTGTACCGACCGCACTGCGCCTCCCGGCCCCGGCCCAGAGCAGAGGAACCATCCCGGAGGAGGCAGGCGCAGCCCCAGTGCCTTCCGTGGCCATGGGCGGCCTTGACAGAGATGTCTACTGAGCAGTGTGGAGCCGACAGAAGCACGAGGAGGGACATGGACACAGGACGCAGAGAAGGGACATGGAACACGGATGCGGGCCGTGGACCTCCCAGGCACACAGGCCGTGGGTTCCAGGACAGGGTGGGTTGAGGAGGCCTTTCTCCTTGAAGGGCAGTGAAGTCCTCCAGCAGGACAGGAAGTCCACTCACTTCTCCCTCCCCACTGTGACAAGCAGTCTGCACGGAGGTGGTACCTCTGCTTCAGTGGAGGAACCAACATGGATACTTTGTTACTAACTCTTTTTAAAGATTTATTTATAAGAAAGAGTTAGAGAGAGAAAGGGAGAGAGGAGTCTTCCATCTGCTGGTTCACTCTCCAAATGGCTACAATGGCAGGAGCTGGCTGGGCTGATAAGAAGTCAGGAGCCAGGAGCTTCTTCCAGGTCTCCCAAATGGGTGCAGGGGCCCAAGGATTTGGCCTATCTTCCACTGCTTTCCCAGGTGTGTTAGCAGGGAGTTAGATTGGAAGTGGAGCCGCTGGGACTTGAACCCGTGGCCTTGTGGGATCCTGTGCCGCCGGCAGAGGTTTAGTGCACTAAGCCATAGTGCCAGCCCGTGTGGTACACTTTCACTGCACGTGTGGTCACACTGTCACACATCGGCCACTGCAGGACCCTGGGACCCCCCTGTCCTGCAACTCCTGTGCTCTGTGGCCCCATCGCCCTCCCACTGCCACCCCTCAATGCCAATCTTTCCGCTGCCCACTGTCCTGTGAGGCCCCTCAAGCCTTCCAGCCAGGGCGCTGCTCCCAACGCTTCCGCAGCCTCTGCTCACTGAGCTGGGGGTGGCTCCTGATCCTTCTGCAGCCCTGTCCCTGGTGCTGGGGGTTCTGCCTCTGACCCACTCCCCACAGGGACTCCAGGGAGCCTGAGTGGGGCTGTGCTGCACCCAAGTCAGGCAGGGAGGAGTGACGTTCCAGCAATGCTCTCTTCCCATCTGTCCACGCTGCCTGAGCTGGGGCAGGGGCCCTGAGAAACCGTGTCTGTGAGGGTAGAAAAGGGACAGCCAGCTCCGGCCTGTGATCCGATCCGGAGGACACCAACAGTGACCTGCTCTCCAGAGGTCCTGCCTGCTGGTTCCCCATCCGGGCACGGATTCCAATGCAGGGATCTGGGGACACAGAGTCAGCCTGTGCCTCCAGTACCTGCGGCCTCACCCAGCCCCTCCCATCACACGCCTCAGGGTCCTGGCCTCACAGATGCAATGCATTCCTAATGACTTCCTCTTTGTGTGTGCACCTGCGTGTTCATATGCATACATAAACATACATGAAGGCCGCTGATTGTGTGTGCTGTGTTCATACACATGTACAAACATGAGAGCCACTGGTCATGTGTGTGTGTCAACAGCTTGTATCGGGGCTGGCTCTGTGGCACAGTGGGTAAAGCTGCTGCCTGCGATGTCGGCATCCCATAGAGCACCAGTTTGAGTCCTGGCTGCTCCACTTCTGATCCAGCTCCCTGCTGCTGGCCTGGGAAAGCCCAAGTGCACCCACGTCGGAGACCAGGATGGAGCTCTTGACTCCTGGCTTCAGCCTGGATGCTGGCAGCCATCTGGGGAGTGAAACAGCAGGTGGAAGATCTCTCTCTCTTTCTCTCTCTAACTCTTCCAAATACATAAATAAATCTTAGAAAAAACGCCCGTGTGCCCCGTCTTGCCGCGCTGCAGTGGGCGCCAGGTTTGCCTCATTGCTGGTGAGCTTCTCTCGGGGTCTCCACGTGGGTCACTCTGCCGTGTGACGGTGCCGTCTGCACAGCTTCTCTCCCCTCTGCTTTCACTGCAGTGGCCTGAGAAGGCCTGGGGCGCGGGAGGTCCCTGTGGCGGGAGAGCTGCCGCTTCCTCACACCACTGGACGCCGGCTGCAGGTTCCCGCCTCGGTTCTTTCCCGGGCTGAGCCGGTCTGTGCCGTGCACGGCGTGGACTCGGTGAAAAGCTCCTGCCCTGCTGGCGCGAGCGTGCAGTTTTCTTTGGCTGCTGCACTAAGTGATTTTCCAATGCTGAGCCAGCCCTGCATTTCTGGAGTGAATCCCAACAGGGCACAGAGCAGAATTCCTCACACGTGGTTGTACCCAGCCTGGAGGCCTTTCGCTGAGAGTCTGTGTGAGCTCAGAGGGACCTGCACTTTCCCGCCCTGTATGGGGGTCTGCTTCTGGCACAAGGAGGGCAGGGCTTCCGTCTGCTGTCACCTTACGGGAGAGCCCAGAGAGAACAGTGGCCCTTCGTCCCCGAGTGCTTGCAGGAGCCAGGCCACTGATTACCGGTTTGTGGCAGCTGAGGGCCTGGCTCCTCCCGTCGGAGTGCGCGCAGCCCACCCCACCCCGCAGTGCCCACCTGAGCCCTCAGCCTCACAGGCGGGCGTGCCCCTCTGCTATCCTCCAGGTCTGGGGGGTCGGCACCGATAGCCCCTCCCTCGCTTCTGTATTGATAAACTCGTGCCTTCTCTCTTTTCAGCTAGTTGGGGTTGCAGGCTTATTCATTTTACTGATCTCAAAAAAACCAGCTTTTGGTTTCATTGATTTTCTGTTCATAACTCTATTGATTTCTGCTCTGATTCTTATTATTTTTCTCTGCTTATTTGAATTTTTCCCTTTTCTATTTTCCTCAGAAGCTTAGAAAATGGATGGATTTTAGGTGGCTGTTTACTTCATATATGTATATAAACATTTCTTATATATATATGATGCTACAAATTTCTCCCTAAGTAGTGCTTTTGCTAATATCCTATAAAATTTGGTTATATTTTATTTTTTTAAAATACTTTAAATTAATTTTTCTTTATGTAAAAGATGGAGAGAGAGAGAGAGAGAGAGAGATTCTACCTGCTGGCTCACTCCCCAAATACCCACAACAGCCAGTACTAGGTGAGGCCAAAGCCAGGGGCTGGGACTATTCTGGGTCTCCCACGTGGGTGCAGAGGCCCAACACCCGAGCCCTCACCTGCTGTCTCCCCGGAGCACGAGCAGGAAGCTGGCGTCAGGAGTGCAGCAGGGGCTGGAGCTCACGCCCTTGAACACGGGACACACGCATTCCGAGAGGCAGCGGGACTGCCACCCCAGATGCCCAGCTCTAGAGCTGTCGCTTCGTTTTCCGTAGTTCATACTTTTTAAAACTTTCTCTGGTGACTTCTTCTTTGTCTTTAGAGTATTTAGAAATATGCTGCTTAATATCCAAGTACCGCGGGTCTCCCGGCCGCTCTCCTTACTGATGTCAATTCCCTCGTGGGCTGTGGGCACAGCCTGTTTTGCACTTGGAAAGGAAGGTGGGTTTACGGCCCGCAGCGCGGTCTTGGCGAGTGCTGGATTCAGGAAGTGCACGGTGGACGACGTGCAGGCCCGGCTGCCGGACACTGCTGTGGACCCAGTGCATCCCTTTCGGCCTGCTGGAGCTTCCACTTCTTTCTTTCTTAAATTTCACACTTATTCATTTGAAGGGCAGAGTGATGGGGGCGGGGAGAGAACACGGGACAGAGAGCTCCCATCACTGCTCCCACATGCCTGCGGCAGCCAGGACTGGGCCAGGGCAGCCTGAAGCCAGGAGCCAGGAGCCCTGTCCAGGTCTGCCACGTGGAGGGCACTCAAGCACTTGGCCATCCTCTGCTGCTCTCCCAGACACATCAGCAGGAAGCTGGACAGGAAGTGTGGTGCAGCCAGGACCTGAACCAGACACTCGGAGACAGGACGTGGGCGTCAAGGGGCGGCTTAGCCTGCTGCGCCGCCACAGCCACCCTCAGCACCATCCACTCGTCCCCATGGTGCTGTGCGTGCCCGCTGCTCGGCTGTCTGGGACCCACTCGCCGGGGTTGCTGTGTCTCCCTGGGCACGGACGGTGTCGTGACGACTGCCCGTCTTCCCAGCTGAGTCCGCTTCTCTGGAGCGAGCCCGGCCACTCCAGCTTTCTCCTGCCTCGGTCAGGCCCGCCCTCCCCAGCGCCCTCCGTCTCCCTCCACCTGCTCCTCAGGGGGCGCCCAGCACGTGCCCTCTGCACACCCGGGCGGCCCCGTCTCCCACGTCTTCTCCCAGGTTCCTCTTTGTCTTTCACTTCTTTTCCACCTTCTCCGACTTCACCGTGCATTTGCCGTGGCTCCATCTTCTCTCCCCGCTTGATGAGCTCGGCCTCCAATCCTCCTACAGACCCTCCCAACACTGCTGTCACCCATCCTCCCTGCGTGAGGCTGCAGCCCATTGGACCCATCACAGGCGAGAGGACAGGACGTCCACCTGACCCCCACGCACTCCTGCCTGCTGGAAGTCTCCAGCCCTTACTGCAGGGAGGGCTGCTGGGGGCCGTGCCACTGACCCAGCATTGGGCTGAGAGCTGAGTGTTTCCTGTCACCCTCGTCCTGTGTGGCCTCCTAGAGACGCGCGACACCTTCCTCCCTCCCGCTTTCCTTGTCTCCTGTGCTCTGGCCCCTGCCCTGCTCAGTGGCCTGTGCCCTGTGCTCTGTGCTCCTGTGTCCTGGTGCCAGCCGCGAGTTCTGAGAAGCATTGAGCCAGGGCTTGCACACACAGGGCCTCCTCCCCACATCCCTACCATTACACATGCAGCCCTGGACGCCCGTCCTGCTCATGTGGTCTCCCTTCTCTCTGCTCTGTGGTTGGAGAAGTTCTCCTGGTCCCCTGGCCCGTGATCGGCCACACCCCGCCTGCCGCGGGCAGGTCTCCGAGCTCCAGCTCTGCTCCTGCTGGGCACCTGCCCGCACGTGCCACCCAGGCTCCACGTTTGGGTCAGAGTCACCATGTCTACACCTGCCTCTCAGGCTGGCTTCTCCCCACAGACCTCTGATCTGGGAGTTTCCAGTTGACAGCAGAACATGACTAACTGGGACAAGGGACGGAGGCCGCAGAGCCTCCAGGGGCAGGTGTTCTGTGCACATGGCTGGGCCACGCAGTGTCTGTTGGGCTCTGCAGCCGCAGGAATCACTGCTTCCCTTGTTTCCGGGAATCAAGTCCGTGCTCCCCGGGAGGTGTCTGCATCTGGCTGTCCAGGGCTCCACTGCACTGCCTGGCTGCTGGGAGTGGCAGGGAGGGCCTGGGTCTCAGCACCCACCCAGCACACTGCTCAGTGGCCACACTCGCTGTGGGTGAGACAGGAAGGCGACACCCTCGCCCCGGTGGCCGCGGAGATGCCGGAGGAGGTGCACGAGGAGGACCGGCACGAGTGGCAGTGCGTGGCCACACCTGGTGCCGGCGTGCAGCCGCTCCCTTCCAGGGCTCTGGGCAGGCTGAGGGCCCTGTGCCCGCCTGCCCGCCTCCATGTGTGGCCCAACAGCTGGTCCTGCCTCTCAGACCTGCGGTGGGCACAGGAAGGTCCTGTTAGCTTCCTTCACTTCTTCCCGCGAGAACCTGGGCAACGGCACCGATTCTCCTGCTGCAGCTAGGGCGGCCCGGGGCTACAGGCTTCGTCTCCAGTCAGCTCAGCTTCGCCCCCAGTCTTGCGTCCAGGGTTCATGCAGGGAGAGGCCGTGGCAGGTCCCTGGGATGTGGGAAGCTCCTGCATGAGGGCAGCTGCCACTCTTCCCCTGCCCTCGTCCAACGGGGCTGCTGGCTCAGCCCGGGCACCCATGGACAGCACCCCCACCCCCCGCCAGGCACCTGTGCGATGGGAAAGCTGGCTCCTTTACCCCTTCTTCCGGTTTTGTTGGCACGTCTGGCACTCCTTCCATTTCTAACTAGACACTGTGTACAATCTGGGCTGCTACTTCCCAAGTCTACACAGATCTGGGGTGCTTTGCCTGCCACTGGATTCATGGCAGAAGAGCAGGGGCCAATGAACCCTACCCCCACCCCCCGAGACCTGGGGAGCCACACGCCTGTGCCATGGTCAGCACTGACACATGAGTTTGGTACATGCTCCCTGGCATCTGTCACTCTGTCACCACACAAGGTTCTGCCACAGTGGAAATGCACCGTGGGATCAGGAGAGTGGCTCGGCAGGGTTAAACACCACCAGCAGTGCCGGCATCCACACAGGTGCCAGTTCGAGTCCCAACTATTCCACTTCCAGTCCAGCCCCGTGCTAATGGCCTGGGAAGGCAGTGGAAGATGGCCCAGGTGCTTGGGCCCTGCCACACATGTGGGAGACCCAGATGGAATTCCAGGCTGTTGGCTTCAGCCTGGCCCAGCCTGGCCATCAACTATGTGGGAAGTGAACCAAAGAATGGAAGATCTATCTCTATGATTCTGCCTTTTTTTTTTTCCTTATAGATTTATTTATCTGAAAGTCTGAGTTACACAGAGAGAGAGAGAGAGGGAGAGACACCCACCACAGAATGACCACCGAGAGTGGACAGCCCCGCCCATCTCCTGCCAGCCCACCTGGCTATTCTTGGGTGGGAAGAGCCAGGCGCTGGTATTGAAAAGCATTGGGAGACTCCCTGGGCAGCAGGCCAGGTGAGAAATCGCGGTTCCGGCTGGAATCCTGCATTCGATACGGACGCCAGCGCTTCTCAGCTGCCTAGGAGCCATCGGTCTCCAGAGCCAGCACAGGCAATGAGCCGGTGGACAGAGCCATGCGGAGCTCCGGGGACCTGTACACAACAGGCAGAGGTGCGACCCTCACAGCAGGGGCTGCGTCACAGGCACGGACACACGTGGCTGCCTGTGGCCCACATCAATCACGGCCATAGACACGCGCCCTCGCCCAGTTCTGCTCATGGAACACACAACCTTCTACCCTGGTTCTCGCCTTCTCCCATTCGGTGGGAGCTCAGTCAGAACACATGCTCTGCACGCCCCTGCGGCCAGGCCTGTGCTGGGCCTCTGTGTACCTGGGGCGGGGCCGGGGCCAGCCGGGTGTCTCCATTTCAGACACCGGGAAGCCAGGTTTTCCTACCAGGTCCCTGGTTAAGACACCAGGAAGGGACATAAAACCCAAGCCACAGGGACCAGCCCTCTCAGGAGACAGGACAGGACGGACCGGAAGTGAGTCCATCAGGAGACCCTGACGCGTCTGGCCTCACCTTTAAAGTCGAATTGGTAGATGTTCTTCAGGGACTCGTGAAGAAAGTAAAAGCTTCCCAGGGCCTGTGGGCAAAAGGAGAATCAGGTGAGGGAGCTGGCTGCGTGGATTCTGGAGTAAAACTTGACAAGAACGAGGCAGCGCCACAGAAGCCCAGGGAGTGCTGCGATGGCGCCACGTCCGGCCAGGCCACCGAGAACACCAGGCACAGGCGCGCAGGTCCGGGAGCCACGCACCAGGAAGGCACTTCCTCCGCCGGAGGAGCAAGGCCCAGGGCAGGCTAGGGCTCAGCACCCGGCTCCATCCCCTCCCCTCCATCCTCAGACCTGAGCTACAGATACCCGCCTGCCGGGAGCCACCTGGCCTTCCACTCATGCTGGGGCCAGGCTGGCCACAAGGCAGGGCTGGACCAGGCCCTGTGCTGGTCTCAGATGCAAATGTGAGGCCATCTTGTGTGTGTTTATCCAGGTTCAAGTACATCCATGTGCAGATGTGTGCACTTCTACACATCTGTATACTCACACACACTCAGGTGCACACAGGCACACCACATGCACACACTCACACTGAGACACACACGCACTCACACCTACATACACACATGCACACTCAGACACATGCACACTCAGACACACGTACACTCAGACACGCACACACCCCACACATAGGCACACCCACACACATACACCACGCATACCCACATGCACACACACTCACACACACATACCCACAGGCACACCCACATGCACACGCACTCACACTGAGCACACGCACTTTGCCTCAGTGCAGGTTTGGCTCCACACCGTGCGGTACAAGTGGCACAGGGGGTGGTGTGGCCTGGCCTCTGCCTTCTGTCCGCCCATCACCTGGCACCACACTTCAACGTGAACAAGTCGTGCTGTAGCTACCACCATGTGGAAATAGGGTGAAAATGAACTTTTTATAACCACAGGTTGAAATAGCATCAAGTGTTAGAATCAGAGACACAGGCGCTGGTTTCCCAGCCCCAGCAGGTGCAGTCCACACGGCCGAGGTGCTGTCTGGAGGTGGGGCTCTGGGTGGGCCCAGCTGGTAAAGAAGGGGACTTTCCGGAGTGGAAGCTCACAGCGGCCTGGGTGCCTGTGGGCTTTAAACTTCTGTTGCAGTCATCAGGCCCCACAACTCCTCTACGTTCTGACACAGGAGACCCCACGGTCCTGCCCTGGCCCTGGCTTCACAGGGCACTGCCACGGCCCCTCCCCGGCTCCTGGGCTCCATGTTTCCTCCCGGCCTCCCACGCTGCCACATCCATGCAGCCACCAGGGATTGAGTCCGTGCTGGTCACCCCCAGTCACCCGGGTAGGGCTGTGCCCACCCCCCCACTCTGGGATGTGCCCCAGGACCCTGCACATGGCGCACCTCGTGCTGTGGGACAGAGTCAGCCTGCAACGCCCTGTGCTCGCCTGCCCAGCCCAACCCTCCCAGCCTTCCCAGCCTCCTGGGCAGCTCCCTGCCCATCTCGGTGCCCCCCCCCCCCCAGCAGCAGCAGCCAGGGTCCTCTACACAGTGTCCACTCACTGCCGCCCATTACACGTGCCTGGCCCAAGGACACCCCACAGCAGGTATTGCAGACCTGTGGCACAGGTCACACTGAGGAGCAGCTCCTGGGGCAGGGGGCACGCGACCAGGGACCACACTGACCAGGGACACACTGACCAGGGACCACACTGACCAGGGACCACACTGACCAGGGACACACTGAGGAGCAAACACTTTCCATCGCTGCATGCTCCAGCTAAGGCAGGTGCACACACACTGTGCACACACGCGCCGACCAAGGCACCAGCCAGGCACCGGCTGGTCTCCCAACCCCACATCACGGCTACCACCCGAGGCACAGGGCTCAGGCCAATGACACACTATGACACAATGGAGCCCATGCCAGGGGTGGTGGCGACAAAAGAAACCCCACAGACACAGGGCGGGCTGAACAGAGGGCGGGCTGACCGTGGGCAGACGCCCACCCAGTACCTCCTCTCCTGCAGAAGGCAGGTCAAGGGAGCACCAGCCGGTGGAGAAGCCACGGGTCGCAGGCACCTGATGCTGCAGCCCGGGCCCGTCCAGGCAGGGCTTGCCCAGGTCACACACCGCAGCCGGCTGTGCTCAGATCCCTTGCTTCGACAAAGCAGAGTAGACGTCCGTCAGTAAGAGGGACGATGGCCACGGGCAGCCCTCGGGACCGCACTTCTCAGCTCCTGCCCCCAGTGCCGCCTCTCGGATGACGTCACTCCCTTAGTGTCAGAGGAGGAAGCACTCCGAGATGGTGAGCAGAGCAGCGTCAGTGCTGGCACGTCCGCCGTGGCCTCGCTCACGGAGCATCACGAAGCCTGCCCAGCGCACGGGAATCAACGCCACTGCAGCCGAGCGCTGCCACTCACGCTGTCGGGAAACCCATAATTAGCTCTGACGAGCATTTCCAGTCAAAGGTCCAGCCAAGTGTTCTGCCTACGCCCTGTCCTCCCAACACAGCCAGGGCCCCCGTGAGCCACGTGTGCCAGCCAGCGGGCAGTGGCGGGCGGGGCCTGCGGGCCTCTCGCCCCAGAGCAGGTCCACAGATGTGTGTAGGGACGCAGACTTCAGTTACTATACTTCTTGCATATTTATATACCCTCTGTCACAATGGTGGGCGTGGCGGAGAGGCGGAGAGCCCAGGGCATCAGAGCTCACCTCAAGGTGCTCCAGGGTGGGCCGCTGTGGTCCACACGGGGTCCCAGCCCCCACAGATCGGGCTCCCCCCTGGAGGTGTTGGTGGAAGTGTAGTGTCTGCCCGTGACAGGGGTGGGCCATGTCATGCCACTCAGGCTGACACAGGAGCAGCAAGTGCACCTCGCAGGCTCACGACTGTGGCAGCCGGCCACTGCTCACACCGGCCAGGACAGGACAGGTGCCGGCAAACTGGGCAGCCACTTGGTGCCTGCTGTGGGGGAGGGGTGGCCCTCTGTCCTGGGCAGCCACCTACACCAGGCTCCAGGGACGACCCGGCCAGGGCTGAGGCCGGCCAGGGGGGCACAGCAAGCGTCTCAGAAAGCCCTCCCCGACCTGGAGGCAGACAGCAGGTGGCAGTAGCTGGTCACTCCCACCACACATCGCAGCAGGAACCTGGGCCTCCTGCAGCCCTTCCTGTGAAACAGAAAACTCCTAAGCCCAAACCAGCCGCAGGCCGGGAACATGCAGGTCCAGAGACCAAGAAAGAAGCAACCACACAGGAGCTGCTCGCTGGGACCCCACAGGGCTGACGGAGCCCTGACCCTGTGTGGCCGCGCCCGAGGACGTGCTGGCTTTGACCGCTCTTTCAGTCTGTCCACCTACAGACGGGCGTCTGCACTCCTACATTCCCACGAGTCACAGCTGGTCCACTCCGGGAGGGACGACTACACACACACACACGCAGGCATGTGCACACACATACAGGCCAGGGGATGTCCCAGTTCATGGAGAGTCTGTGCAGGGGAAGCCACGCTTGGAACCTTGCGTCCAGCTCTAAGCCAATGCCCGCTTCCTGCTCATGCACCTGGCAGGCAGCAGTGGGGCTAGGGACGGGGTCCCTGCCACCCACCTGGAGGCCTGGACGCAGGGCCCGGCGCCCGGCTCTGCCTGCAGCTGCGTGGCTGTTGTATCTGGGGAGTGACCGGCAGATGGGAGATCGCTCTCTCCCTCTTCCTACTTTCCTCTCCTTCCCTCTTTCTGTCTTTCAAACAAATAACGTAATTAATAAATAAAAGATCTTTTAACATGAGTATTTTTTTCAAAAGTGCATCCAAAATACGATTGAAAGAGTTATTTTTGTGCAAAACCTTTTTAAATCTATGCAGCTTTCATAATATGCATTTCATGTACTCTAAGGTCTCTGCATGTCCACGTGCATATACACACACGTACACGCACGTACACATGGGCTGTGCTCATGGCTGTCCCACTCAGCTCAGCAGACCTGCACAAGAAAGCAGGACGGGGCCAGCGCTGCCGCAGCCAGTGAAGCCGCCTGTCAAAAATCGTTTGCCCACATGTGAAGGCTCGTGCCTGGGCTCTCTACTGCCTCGGACGGCCAATGTTTTCTGTGTCTCCCCAGCTCACTCCTGTCCCTATGTGTGTGTGTCAGTCCCCCCAGCTCACTCCTGTCCCTGTGTGTGTGTGTCAGTCTCCCCAGCTCACTCCTGTCCCTGTGTGTTTGCAAGCATCTCTATGTTTACTGGCATGTAGGCTTCTTCTATGAATTCATCTCATGTCCTTAGTCCATTTTTCTATTTTTTCTGTTTGTAGAGTTTTCTTTTTTTTATTTTATTTTATTTATTTATTTATTTTGACAGGCAGAGTGGACAGTGAGAGAGAGAGAGACAGAGAGAAAGGTCTTCCTTTGCCATTGGTTCACCCTCCAATGGCCGCCGCGGCCGGCGCGCTGCGGCCGGCGCACCGCGCTGATCCGATGGCAGGAGCCAGGAGCCAGGTGCTTTTCCTGGTCTCCCATGGGGTGCAGGGCCCAAGCACCTGGGCCATCCTCCACTGCACTCCCTGGCCACAGCAGAGGGCTGGCCTGGAAGAGGGGCAACCGGGACAGAATCCGGTGCCCCGACCGGGACTAGAACCCGGTGTGCCGGCGCCGCTAGGCAGAGGATTAGCCTAGTGAGCCGCGGCGCCGACCTAGAGTTTTCATTTTTAAATGTAATCTAGAATCATTTCTTCGTTACCTACAGTACATTTTAAAGCTCTTCATTTAAATGCTTTATTTGCGAGGCAGACAGACAGACAGAGAGACACCTTCTACCCTGTGAATCACCCTCCAAATGCAGACAACAGCCAGGCCTGGGCCAGACTGAATCCCAGAGTCGGCAATTCCATCCAGGACTCTCACGTGGGAGGCAGGGACCCAGCTACCTGAGCCATCGCCGCTGCCCCCAGGTGCACATCGGCAGGAAGCTGGATCAGGATCTGGGTCTCGAACCCAGGTCCTCTGGTGGACGATAAAGGGGTCTGTCCCAAGCAGTGCCGGAACCTCCGCCAAACACCGACCTTGCTCTGGCCCTACCAC